CTCCAAATTCATTACCCGAGCAAAAAAGGGTCACTCCTGGGCCACACATAGTGCACAGATTTCTCCTGTGTCTCATATGGACTCTTTCACACAGCTACAGGAGTTTCTTTTGGAACAAAATTACTTTCATCTTAGAACAATAGTTCATTTCCTTTGTCCATTTTATAATGGTCTTTCATGTGGATTTACTAGAAATTAATAGGATCAGATTCTCCATTCCCTTTTGGCTCCTCTGCCACCAACTCATGAGAAAATATATTGCCATGGAATAACTCCTGTGTGTCCAAAAAAACTCATTTCAGGCTAGTCTGAGAATCTTTTACTATTTTGAGTCCTACAAAGTGACATATTCAATGAGGGGCAGATTTTGCCAAATACAGAAGTGCATTTATGCAATTACTGAACAAAAAAACGTGTATCAGAACATCTTCCGTACATTAGCAGGATCAAGTTTATCTAGAACATTTTTCTGCTCTTAAAACCTTCAGACAGCATTCCACAAACATTCAGCTTCATGTTTTTGAGCATGCAATCTATTATACGTCAGACATACTGCTACCAGTCTACTAATGACCATGTTGATCAGTACTGGGCTCAGGATTCCCCCTTGCACAGCCAAAAGTGAACTACTCACAGGTTGTTTTTCAGTATTGCTCCTCAACAAGTTATTCAGATCACTTCAGAGTACTTTTAACTAGAACAGGTTTTCCCCACTTTCCCTGTGGGAATGTCATGGTGGACAGTGTTCAATGCTCATTAAAGCCCAGCTATATCAGTTATTGCTCCTGCTTGATACATGAGAAGCTGTTAATAGCATGCCTGTATGTAAGCACTTCTCGACCAGGTTTTGCATGCACACAGTAATGTAGGTTACAATAAAGACCATGTGGACTTTTAAAAAAACGGCCTCAGGTGGGGTGATTGTAGGGAAGGTATAATTAACATTTGATTCTCATAAGAACAGACATTTCATTAATGAATGTTTTGGGAGCCTAAAGATAGTACCAATGCATACTAAATGATATGTTTTATGAGACTCAAATTTCAGCTAGCAACAGCTCAAATCTTTACTAGCCTACCAAGCAGCCGAGATATTCCAGAAAGGCAACAAAGGCTTCTGTAGTACAGAGTAAGCATTCAGAAAAAGGGATTTGCTTGTAGACAGACTTCCACTGGATTTGCAGGTTTACATACCTTTCACGCTAGAGAGATGCAGGCAATTCTACACCTCACTTTTTCCGAGTCATGAATTTAATGGAATCCTTCTACTTTCTCCAGAAAAAAAACAAAACAAAACAAACAAACAAACAAAAACAAATAAACAAAAGAAAACAAACAAAAAACACAAAAAAAACCAAACCAACTAAAGCCAAGTGGATGATTTTGACTCTTTGCCAGATCAAAAGTATGGTGTCATCTTTCTTTGTGCAGGTATGGCATCAGCTTTTAGAACACTGAAGAATGACAGTCACAGGCTGAGTAAGAATGACAGTCACAGGCTGAGTAAGAATGAAGGATGTCATAAGTCCCAAATTAAATGAAGAGGTCATTATTTCTAAAGGTCTGAAAGTCCTTGTTTCGTTTCTCTTTTTCTTTCAGTCTTTGCACTAACACTAGATTTGTACTTGCAGAAAAACTTCCAATTGATGGCATCAGCAATACCAGAACCAAAAGGAGGACCACTTTAAAGTCTGATGAAAAGGGTGCTGATGTCCCAAAAGAAAGATTTCCTAAAGTCCAACTGGTGTAAAGCACATTGGTTTCTTTCACTAAGGACTGATAATAAAACTGTGTGTCCCATCACTGTTTTTTACTCTTGGCTGTTGGCTTTCATTAGGGACTGCATACAACAGGCCGGAGCAGCAGTCAGGTACACCTTTCTCCAAGAGAATTAAAACACTCCCCCATCTCTATTAACTGCAGTGTTCTTCTGAACCTCCCCTGCCTAACAAATGTGCCTTCAAAGCCATTCTTTGAGACCTCTTGTCCAAAGTCCTAGAGCACAAAAACCTCCCAGACAGTAAGCACAGACAAAGTAATGCACAAGGAAGTCTAATTTTCTATAGATCATAAGATCATAAAATGGTTTGGATTGGAAGTGATCTTAATGATTATATCATTCCAACTCCATTCCATGGGCAGGGACATGCAATGAACGTGTGAGAAGGGGACTGTATCAAGGGAAGGAACAGAATGTGTCAAGGAGAAAAAGCCCCAGAAAAGGTTGGCTGTGAAGAATGTAATCATAAGAACCAACCCATATAGCTAAACCCTGAGTTCTTACCAGTGGAGAAGAAAAAGCAAATGGACCATACAAAACTGAGAATGCGATACCGCAATTCATGAGAAGAACAGAAGTCCTAACAGAATTAGGAAAAAAGAACAAAATACAATTTAATATGACTGTGGACAGAGAAAAAATGAGAACACATCTTTTTCTTGTGCTTCCAAACTGTTTAGTCTTTCTCTACTTCAACACACTTAAAAAAGACAAAAGATTTCCACAACCTACTGCATCTGTAAGTAATTCCAGTAATTCTCTAACATGTGACATCCTTTTTAGTCATTGTTAGGGGAAATGGTAAAGGCCATTTTCATCACTACCACTGCACTTTTCCATAGTATTCAGGACAGGAACATAAGCTCTGGAAGGTTCTTTCAAGCACAGCACTTGTCTGCTGGTAATGAAGGTGTGTTTGCTGTGTTATGAAAGTGAGTACCAAGTGACACAATATCTTCTATATATAACAGAAGCAACCTTATGTCCCTATCAGATACAATAGATGTTGTGCCATACATTGAAACTATACAGAGACCTAACAGTGGACCAATCAAATTCAAACATTTACTGATACAGGGGTTCCCAGTCTTTGTATGGCTTACATGTCATCTTCAAGACCTTCCTACCAAAACCTTTCTGAAGCCACAGATGCAAAAAATTAAATACATGTTGTCATGGCTACAAAGAAGGTGGCAGAGCAAGCTATGTGCAATGTTGCTCACTGAGTTTTTTGCTCTCTTACATGGGACACACACAGACTGATTAAATTCTGGCAGCACATTGGTGGCAAAGGGATTGGCTGCCACTTCAGAATCCAAGTTCAAGTTGTGCTCTGGATTATTACCTACACAGCTTGAGGTGCTGCTCTGAATTCTGCAGCATGAAGTTATGAAGTACTTTCAGACTAGGAAGCCAAATGTGAAAGAAAGCCTAAGTCCTTGCCCTTGAGACTACTGGTTGGGCTGATGCTGATGGGAACTCAACCCACAGCTGGTTGGTAATGGTAAAAGCAATAGGAGGAAAGGCAAAGAAAAAGATAGTATGTAAGCTGCAAGGAACATGGCTTCAGTCTTGATTTTGTACCAAACCTTGCACAGCACAACTGCAGAGCAGAGCTGCAGCAGAATACCAAACTAATACAGATAAAATCGAGGCAGTTTATGCATGAGTGCATTAAAATAGATTAATCAAGGAAAAGTGCTTTCTCTTTTAAGTTTTTTTTTGTTTTGTTTTGTTTGTGTTTTTTTTTTTACTAAACAGGCTAAGAACACTGCAGTTACAAAACTCTTGGGAATATGACAGGGTGTTGGCTTCAGTTAAGCAAACTGCAGGAGCACATTGCTAAAGCACACAAGCCAAGGAAGGGCATGGTAGGCTGCCATTCCCTCAGACATTACAACAAAGTTTATTTATGCAGAGTCAAAGGAAACATCAGTGGAGAGCACAGCAATGAAAATGATGACTGAGCTTGCCTTCTGACCTTTCTGTTTTTTCTGTCTGACCTTTCCACTCAACCAAACTTCAAACTCAGCCTATAGTATGGCAACAGGTCTTCAATCTGATATGTTTTGAGTGCACTCAGCATTTTGAGGTGCTGCTGGGATGTGCTAAGCCAATTTTATAATCAAATCCAGATTTAAGTAACACCTGTGATAGAAAGGTCTCCAAGTTGTTAGTCATTAGCTGCTAAAAAGGAGGAGTTGTTATCATTCTTATCCCCTTTTTATGTCAAGCTGATGGTGTTCCATTTCTCAAACCTGCTAACTGTTGTCATATGAGAAACTCTTGTGACTCCAAGCAGATACATGGTGCTGACACAATTTGTCTGTGCTTTTAGAACAGAGTGAATACCCTACTTAGAAGGTAAAAACGTTTACGCTTGGCCAGCCTATGTTTAACATTACAGGTCTACACTATGCATGCATTCAAAGTTGGAACACAAATAGCAAACATGCTACTTTAGCTAGTACTGCCAAGTATGAAATCACAGTGAATGAATGAATGACTCCTATCATACCTGCAGGAACAGATAATTCATATAATGAGTATTTGCCAACAAGCGTAAAAAGCGCTGGCCACAAACATAACATTTTGCGTACACTGAAATCCTACATATTAGAGAAACATTTAAAAGCAACATTGTATTTGATGGAAAAATAGAAGCATTAGATGCACACAGACCATATGCAGTAAGTAAAATACATGATCATGAAACAAGCAGTGCATAAGATGAATTACTTTACAAACACAGTTTTACCATATTGCCTCCAAAAGTATTATGTGTGAAAGAAATTAGAAATGGTCACTGGCTACCTTTTGTATAAATCAGGGCAACGACTTTAAGTGAAGTCCACAAAAGTGATGGGGTTACTAATGATTAGTACTTTAAACACATGTGAGTGTGTGTGAGCACATCTTGTGATCACACACGCTATTCCTCAGGCCAACAAACAGGTAATTCACAGCTTCATTTGCCTGGATCTCAGAAGCTTCACTGGGACTACTCATAGAAATGAAAATTCAACAAAGCAAGTAAAAGGTTCAGAGTTCAGTATTTGGCTTTTGCTTGCTTATGTTAATGCAACTTTAAAAATGTAAGGAAAGAACATTTTAGTAAGCAATGCTAAAAATCATTTATCTACTTAACCCTCACAATTTGAGAAAATCAAATCACTGACTTACAGTTTGTTTTACTCTGAAATAAACAAAGCTCACTTACCATATATTCCATGTTGGAAGCAGGTGGGAAGACTTTGCCTCTGACTTGATTATGATAATCAAGAATGGCAATCATATCATTCTGTGAAATGTAGCGCTTCCGCCTGGCTTTGGGAATTTTTGCAGAGTCCAGATGAGCTGCCAAAGCTGTCTCAATGTCAGTAAAATTAACGTCTGAGAGGAGCAGGTCAGTGGAGTTGGGTAACACTAATGCACTTGTTTCACAGAGAATGGAAAATAAGAAAGCACAACTGATTGCAGTGATTACTGTCATTTTGGGGCCAAAGAAGAAGGATAGGCCACAGAGGTACTCTGCTTTAAGTCAGGGCAGTAGAAAACAAATCTGTAGAAGAGAAGATGTCAAAGATGTGATTCTGTACATCTGGGTAGCAGAACAAAGTGAACTGGCAGTCTGTGATCAGAAAAATGACTCTGTCTGTCAGCTCAATCATAACAACAATCCAGTCAGAACATGTGCTACTGAGCAATTTCCAATAACCATCTTAAGGGCTAATATGTCTGTACTACAATGACACCAAATGAAGTATCATTACACAATGAATTACATAATCAAATCTAGTAGTATTCCTGAAATAGGGACAGTGCTATCACACCGGATCAGTCCATAAAACACACTACAAATCTTAAATGGGGAAACTTCAAGGAACCTCACAGCATGCTTTCCAGTGAAAATGAAAAACATATCCTAGGCTATGCCTATCCCATATGCATGGATTATATTGACACAATGTGGCACAGATAAGCTAGTAGGCAAAAGACAACATATAAAGCATGAAAGCAGGACATCTTAGAAATAGCATTCAGATCTTAACTTCTGCAAAATGTGATAAGCATTGATAAAACTGCATGCAAAGCAAACTTACTGAGTTGAATGGCTTACCTCTGTATAATACCAAGAAAAAAAAAGAATACAGTCTATTGTTCTCCCAGTATATATAGCACTCTCCTATATGAACCTTTGTGAAGGAGTGTCTCCTATTATAAACCTCCAAAGAACAAAACTATGCTACTTTTGAAACTTCTGGCCACAGGAGCTGCTAACAGCTTTTATATGTTACACTCCGTATGAGCCAGAACAGGCAGTTTCTCTAGAGGTCTCTGCTTAGCCAAAACGAGAGGGGAGGAGTTCTGCACAGCACACAGGCAGGGATTGGGTGGCATCCCTGATGTGTAGGTGGTTTGGATATTCAGTCACACCCCCAGTTCCTATAGTATAAAGAGGCAACATGTAAGAGTCTCCTTTTTCAGTATTTCCTACCTTTTTTTTTCCTCCGTGTTCTCTTGTTGGCGTTTTTTTTTCCTCATTTCACAAGCATCATGCTGGCTTGACAAACATTTTACGTCGCTCTTTAAGCACTGACGGAGCAGCATGAAGAACAGAGGATTTGCAAACCTCTGTTGCTTCACTCACAGGAAACGGAACTTATACAAGGCCGTCCCCCCAGTTCTGACCCGTGCTGGCTCGTGGGGCAGCCTGCCCGGGGCGGAGGGGTGGCCCCGAGCCATGGCTGGCAGCAGGAGGGCAGGCGAGAGGCACTACTTGCGAGCAGTCTCTGCTCCATTCATCGCCGAGCAAATGCACTAGGTGCTGCGCCTTACGCCTTATGCCTTACCCATTACCCCTCACCCCTCACTATCCTGCCACCCCCTTCACTCCCCCTTCATCCTCTTCCCTTGCCTGCGCTCCCTCAGACACACAAAACTCAAGGCAGGTTGTGGCTAAGCAGTACCAGTTACCTGAATGCTCGTGAGAAACTACGGGAGCAGCAGGACCAATAGCTCATGCCAGTGCTTGGGAGACATCTGTTTCATATTAGCGTATAGCTGGAATTATTTACGCACAGAATGGTCGAGCCACTCACACAGCAGAGCTAAGGGCATAACACTGAGGCCATGATGAAAGCGAGCAGAGAGAAACAGCAGCAGCCAGCAGTTGTGTACTGAGGACAGGGAATGAGCAACCCAGTACCAAGCTGACCCACCACTAGAGCTAGGCAACCTGAGGCAGCCCATAAAAGGAGACCCTTAAAAATGTAATTACAACATTTTGCCACATCATAAGCTAGAAGAGAGAAGCACAAGGGGTTTGATATTACACCAAATCTTACCGAGTGCTCAGAAGTTTCAGTAGCTCTATTACAGAAGCAATATGGAAATTAAGTATTAAGGAAGCAAAGTCCAGTAGTTAGAGCAGGGGCTGGAAGCCAACACTCACGCTCTCCTTTTGGCTCTGCTACTCACTCGCTGTGTGGCCTAGCCCAAGCCATTTAATCTGTGTGCAATCTCTACAATGGTATAATAGTCTTCTACAGACATATTGTAAGGCCCAAATAACTAGTGTTTGATAATGTGCTTTGTGATGAAAGGTGTTAAGTATAAAATATCGTCACTAGTTATATTACTATATGCATATCCAGCCTGTCCAAAACAGCTGCTTACAATGCAGCTGCTGGTATTCCTTTACATGATTATACAAGAAACTTTAACACATCATTTGTCTTTGTAGATGATTCATTTCATTCTATTTTCTTTCTTCTGTAATGAAGTGCATATTTGTTTATGTTAACGTCAAGAACTGTCCTCCCATTGTTTGAATACAATGGGAAGAAATCTCAGTTTCTTTGAATTGCTGCAGGTCCTTTGATTTCATCTGAACTGCAACAAGTTATAAAAGGGATGATACCAGCTTAACATCTCAGGAAGTTCAGAGGGTAGATTTTACTAGTTAGTCACATTTTAGATTGCTATAATTATTTCCTCATACTCACCCTGTGGCAATACTTGGAGGCTGTTATGATGTTGGTCTCTACCCAGAACAGTTAGGACATACAAGTAAATGCTGTAAAATAGCCATAATGTTCACAGCTGTAAAAATGAGCTGCACTTCCTTAAGAACAAGTCAGCTTATCAAATTTCTTTTCTTTCCATTGCTTGTGGTTACTGCTTAATTATTTGTTTCCATGTCTAACAGGCAAGTCAGTGTAACTACTCATCTAACTGTAGAAAAAAAGTTTATGAGCAGTGCTAACAGGCACAATAACAGAAAGTATGTTGTGAACATGAAAGACCTTAGGGCGTGAGAGTGTCTTGACCCAAGCCTGTTGTACTACTAAGTTCTCAAATAAGAAGCAATGGCAAATAATGAAAGAGCAATAGTAACTCTCAAGCTTGACAACTGAGATACCTTAGATAATCATATGCATGTGTGCATCCAGTTTTCTTCTGAAAGGAGTCAATGACCTGGCATTCAGTGAAAATTGGCAAGCAAGACCAATGAAGCCACACTAAAGTCCTCATGAAGGTCCACCCCAAGAAAGGAATGGATAAAATGAGGAAAAATTAAGAAAAGAAGCATCAAAGAGGTCTGCAAGCTCATGAGGAGAAAAGTAAGAAGTGGATGGAACCATCTGCAACATACACAAAAAGAACTATTTCCCTACTCTTCAGCCCTCTCAGAAAAGACAAAGGGGGAACAATCAACCCGGTGACAAAAGATGATTACAGGCCAGAGACAGACATAAGTGAGACCATGGAATGAGTCAAAATATCTGTAAACCTAATTAAGAACAGAATGTGCCAGCTGAGACAACCACAACGTGGTTACTGAGCAGCCTGGGAAAAAAAAGTGCAATAATTCTTGTACTTAATATCAGCAAATGTGAGCAGTGAAAAAAGTTATACAATCAAGAATGAGAAAGAATGTAGAAGAAACTAAGAATTAAAAACAATTCAATTTACCTTTTGAAAGATTCTCTTCTATGAAATAGGCTAGATTTTAAAGTTTTGCTAGAAAGTATCCACTTTTTCAGAAAAAACAGTGTTCACACATAGGACAAAACAGAAACAGGATACAATCTATTAGCATAAGATCTAGACTTTATCTGGAGGATAAGCTGTACAGAGGCATGGGTGGAAGAGAACAAGGTATATGTTTATATATCCTGTGAAATACATCCTCTTTATCTTCATTGCACAATAAAACTGATGACTCACAACACTCATGGTGTTTTTTCTTTGTATTCCTTGGATTAAGAATATAAATTCTGATCTTCTAATCGTGCATTACTCGACAAGTAGCATGAACCTTATAATTTGACTGACATTTATTTTAGTAAATGAATTATGACTGTATAGAAGCTGGATTGTCATCTGTTAAGAATAGTTTATTTTTACCAATTTAATGTGATGCTGGTTGCTAACATGAGACAGTTAAGCTTGAAACACTTACCATAATTTATTTTGCTCCTTACTACCTTAGAAATACCTGTCTGGGATTCCCGATACTTTTGAAATTAAAACTTCAATGCCAGACAAACTGTAAGTGCATATATATCCCCAGGCATAGTAAAGATCAAAATGCCTCACACATTCAAATTTCTCACTTGTACTTTTGATACTTCATCATATTGATAGTCATCAAATGGAGAGAATGAAGCACTGAGAAACCAAGTAACATTCCTATAGTTATTCAAAAATAGTGTAAAGAGCAGTACCTTAACCTGAGCTCTGCCAGGTCCTAGACTACAGACCTATTTCTAACTCTGGATCATCCTGGGAAAGAAGATAAGTTTCCTAACTGTATCTCAATGACAAAAAAAAAAAAAAAAAAAAAAAAAATGGCTTTTTTAAGTGTAGAGTGAAGTGAGAATAGGTAACATCCTCCATTCGATAATGCTTTGGCATTAACTACCTCCTTCTGGCAGTATGGTGACAGAAATGTCATCAACTACAGCAGTGCCATAGATGGAAGTCTGAAATCACAAGCCAGTCCAGCCTATAGTGATAGTTATCAGTTTAAGATTATAACAGCTAACTGTAAGCATCCAAAGAGCTATCTTAGCTCCTGAAAAAATAATGTCATCTGGGGAACAGTGGAGCCTAGAAACAATTTCAGCTTGCCAAGGTAGCTTTTATGTTGCCCACCTATAGACCTCTAGTTTCATTTCAGATAGAACCGTAGAACCATAGAGCAGTTAGGGTTGGAAAGACCTTAAGATCATCAAGTTCCACCCATAGCCAGGGACACCTCGCTCTAAACCATATCACCCAAGGCCTTGTCCAACCTGGACTTGAACACTGCCAGGAATGGAGCATTCACAACCTCCCTGGGCAACCCATTCCAGTGCCTCACCACCCTAACAGGAAAGAATTTCCTCCTTATATCCAATCTAAACTTCCCCTGTTTAAGTTTTAACCCATTGCTCCTTGTCCTATCACTACAGTCCCTAATGAAGACCCCATCCCCAGCATCCCTATGGGCCCCCTTCAGATACTGGAAGGCTGCTAGGAGGTCTCCATGCAGCCTTCTCCAGGCTGAACAGCCCCAACTTTCTCAGCCTGTCTTCATATGGGAGGTGCTCCAGTCCCCTGATCACCCTTGTGGCCCTCCTCTGGACTTTTTCCAACAGATCCATGTCCTTTTTATGTTGAGGACACCAGAACTGCACACAATACTCCAAGTGAGGTCCCACAAGAGCAGAATAAAGGGGCAGGATCGCCTCCTTCGACCTGCTGGTCACGCTCCTTTTGATGCAGCCCAGGGTAAGGTTGGCTTTCTGGGCTGCAAGCGCACACTGCCGGCTCATGTTCATTTTCTCATCGACCAACACCTCCAAGTCCTTCTCCGCAGGGCTGCTCTGAATCTCTTCTCTGCCCAACCTGTAGCTGTGCCTGGGATTGCTCCGACCCAGCTGTAGGACCTTGCACTTGGCACGGTTAAACTTCATGAGGTTGGCATCAGCCCACCTCACAAGCAAGTCAAGGTCCCTCTGGATGGCATTCCTTCCCTCCAGTGTATCAACCGAACCACACAGCTTGGTATCATCAGCAAACTTGCTCAATCCCACTGTCCATGTCAGCAACGAAGATGTTAAACAAGACCGGTCCCAACACCGATCCCTAAGGGACACCACTCGTTACAGGTCTCCAGCTGGGTATTGAGCCATTGACCACAACTCTTTGTGTGTGGCGATTCAGCCAGTTCTTTATCCACCGAGTGGTCCATTCATCAAGATGCCCAGACATATGATATGTCTGCTTCAGAGATATGACATGGGACTT